GTTCCTTTTAGCAAATTGGCCATCTTAGGTGTACATCAGTGTTTCTCTTTAAGCTTTGCTTCCATGAAGAGAGGGATGAGGTTTGAGAATGATGGTGGTCACAGAATAAGGACACATTACTATTTTATAGTCATTATTATCCTGCAAATTAGAAACTTTTATTATAATCTTGCCCTATATATTTTGGCTTTTCTGAAGTTATGAAAGGAAACACTTGCCTTATATACTGAAATCCAAACCATCAGAAGATTGTTCCTATTAACTGCTTTGCAATAGATTCCATTTTAATGGCTCACCTATTTTGCTTGGATCACTTTACTTGTTCTCATGAAATGAGGAGATTAAGAGAAAGTGATTTCCTATTTAAATAAAATCGAGAAATAGCTAAGTTTTCTAGTATGTAATATTTAAATATGGTTTTCTTTCTATATTTTTAATTTTGCCAATAATGAGGGAAGAAATGCAAATTCTTTAGCCATCTCTCAAATTTCATGTTTTCAAAACTTAATTGAAAGGAAATTGTAATTTATGGATATTCAAAATAGCTGTTTTTTAAAATTAGCTGGTATGTTAACCAAGTGCTGGCAGAGATGTGGAACAGCTGGTACTCTCGTATATTGCTGATGGGAATGCAGAGTGGTACAGCCGTTCTGCAAAACAATTTGGCAGATTCTTGTAAAATTAAACATGTATTTTACTGTATGGCTCAGCAGTCCAACTTTTGGGTATTTATCCAACAGAAATGAAAGCTTATTTGCACACAAATATCCACAGTCACTTTGTCAGAGCCAAAAGCTGAAAACAATTCAAATGACTTAAAAGAATGGATAAATAAACGTTGGGGCATCTGTACAGTGGACTACTATTCAGCTCTAAAGGAGCTCTGGTGGCTTAGTGGCAAGGAGTTGCACTGCCAACTCAAAGGTAGGTAGTTTGAATCCACCTGTTGCTCTGCAGGTGAAAGATGGGCATTCTTCCCCATGCGATTCACAGCTTCAGAAAACCCACTAGAGGGCCAGCTGTGCGTCCGTTTTAACTCGACCATATATAGCAACAGCAACAACTTAAGAGTAGAAAAGGAACAAACTGTTGATATGTGCAACAACTTAGATGAATCTAAAGATGCTGAATGAGACCAGCCAGTTCCAAAAGGTTGTATACTTTGTGATTCCATTTATTTGATGCATGGAGAGCACAAAGAACATGAATGAAGATGATGGAACTGTTCTGTGTCCTGATAGAGGGAGTAGTAGTATAAATACAGGAACTGTAGATAAAATACATACTTACTGTGCATCAGAGAACTGAGCAAAGACTAAGGATGACAGAAGAAGAATCGAGGCTTTTGAGTTGTGGTGCTGGAGAAGAGTCTTGAACATACTGTGGACCACAAAGAAAACAAACATGTCTGTCTTGGAGAGGGTGAAACCAAGCTCCTCCTCAGAGGCTAGGATTTGAAAGCTCTGTCTCACATAACTTTGGATGTATGGCCAGGAGGAACCAGTCCTTAAAGAAGGGCATCATGCTTGGAAGGGTGGATGGACAGCCCAGGAGAGGAAGAGCCCAAATGAGCTGGATTGATACAATGCTTAGGGCAATGGGCGTAGGTGTGTTGGACATGGTGAGACTGGTTCAGGACAGGGCAGGGTTCAGTGCTGTTGTACATAGTATTTTATGAGTTACAGGTAACTCTGTGGCACCTGAGAACAACAGCGACATGAAATGTAAAACAGTACATTCTGAGTAATTTTACAGGAAGAAATGGTTTTTATTATTCTATAAAGATACAATTGTTATTGTGATACTGGAGCTTTATATCTTCTTTGGCATATATACCTAGTAACTCATTGCTTTCAAATCATTTCTATTAGTGACCTTCCATGGGATTTCTAAGACCATGAATCCTTGAGAGCAGATCACCCATCTTACTTCTTTGGAGCGACTGGTGTATTAGGACTGCTCACCTTTTTGGTTATACCTGTGTCTTGGTGAAAGTGCAGCCAAAGTGCTCCTTAGAAGCAAGGATGGTGAACTGTCTCACACAGTTTGGGCATATTGTTAGGAAGCGCCATTCATTCCTTAGAAAAGGTCTTTTAGAATGGAAGGAATGGGGTCAGCAGAAGGAAGACCCTTAATGAGATGGATTGATACAGTTACTACTGCACTGGGCTCTAGTATGTCGGAGATGATGAGGATAGCCTGGCATAGGATAGGACAGGGTTCACATTTGTTGTTCATAGGATCCTGATGAATCTGCTTGACAGCATTTACCAACAGCATACAGCGTGGCTTCGTGATAACTTGAGCTACCGATCCAAAGACATGTGGTTAGAGTCCGCCAGCTGCAATGCAGGAGAAGGATGGGCAGTCTCCTTCCACGTGATTTACTGGCCCTGAAAACCTGGGAGGTCAGCTATGAGGCATTTCCAACTCATCAGTGCATAACAACAATAACATGCCATCCGTGCTCTTTTGAGAAGGCTTTTTTGTTTGCTTTTGTTTTTAGACTGCTTTTTTAATCTTCTGTAGTTACTAGCCTGAGTAGTTGTTGAAGCCATAGTTAGCATTGCATCTTTCCGTTGTTGTTGTTGTTGTTGTTGGGTGTTGTTAATTTGGAATTGACTCATAACTGACCCTCTGGCGGGTTTCAGAGGCAATCAATTACATCTTCCCTTCTCTGAGCAGCTGGCGAATTTGAACCACATGCCTTTAGGATGGTGGCACAGCTCCTTATCACTAAGCCACAGGAAGTAAAGGACCTGTGTCAAGGGTGTCTCTGATGGCCCAGTGAATAAGGAGTAACCAATCTAAAGGCACATGGCTCAAATCCACCAGCTTCTCCATGGGAGACAGATACTCTCCTCCTGTGTGATTTACAGCCTCGGAAAACTTGCTGGAGGGTCTGCTTTGAGTCGTTTCCAGCTTGACAGTGCATAACCACAACAATTTCTTTAAAACTAGCATTTAAGTAAGTTAGAAAATGATTGTGCTACAAAAATAATCATGTAAGTTGTGGTCCCATGTAATGGGATGATAGACTTAAGAGGCACACAGCTCGGATACGGCCCATGCTGTTGGTGCCTTGCATCTAGTTGTCTCAGTCTTACTGTTCCTTATCTTTTCCTTTTTTTCTGTTTCTTCCATACTCCTTGAACTCTTCTCCAAATCACAATTCAAAGGTAGCATTTTGGTGGTCTTATTCATTGTCCAAGTTTTACACGCATAGAAAGCAGTTGAGAATACCATGGCTGGGGTAAGATGCATGTAACAGGAGCAAGGGCAACATGGGTGCAGCTGCGTTCATCCACAGTGAACTCTGCACAGGGGAACTGTCCCCATCAGCAACATCCACAATACCGAAAAATAGCTACAAGGTCAGACATGGCCCCTCCTCTGCTCCTCCACCTACTTCTACTGGGTCTAAAATTCATTGCCAATGACTCACAAACTTGACTTTATTCATAGTTGTGGGTTTTATTAAGGACATAGTTTAGGAGTGGGAAGGCCAAGGATTTCACACGGTGAAGGTCCAAGTTTTAGTGAACGGCAGTCCCAATCCAGATTAACAGCAAGACCATTTCTTCAGTTATTTCAGGCGGTTTCTCAGTCATCAAGTGAAAGTCCAGGTTCAGCCCAGCAATACAAGAGCAAGAAACATCTGGTTTCCTCAGTCATCCAGCAAGGTCCGTCTCACAATAGTCACAAGTCAGCTTTTTCTGCATTTGTCCCACAAGCAGAACAGTTATCACTGGCTCCGTCTCCAAGGCACCGAGACGCTGTACTTCCCTGCACTTTCTCCACAGTCTGGCCAGCCCCACAGCCATTGATGACGTAGAAGATGCTGATCAGAGGTCAACCATTTTCTGCAGTTCAAAGTCAGTGGCCGAGGGCCCCAGAGGGAGTTAGACCACAGACCCTTTCACTAGGAAGTGTAGTGGTTAATGAACCCAAAGTTCCTTCCCTTCATCGAGTTTACATTGTCACTTACTGGGAAAGTGAGGGGACAGCAGTAATACATTTCAAGGAATTCCCATTCTGGTTTTTTTTAACGTCTTAATTTCTATCAGGTTATTAAGTCTGTTGAAACTCTTTAAATCTTTCAGACGTAAAGATTATGTTTTCATTTCTACTTATTTTCTGTATATTTTTGTCAGAAAAGTATAATGATTTTTGGCTATGCAAAGTTAATGAAGAATATAATCATCATGAGACATTCACATAGCATCGACCACCAGAATGTACAGGCCATTGTATTTATGAGTTGGTAACAAGAACAATTGTTACTTACCTAAAAAATGTTCTTATGAATTATATAAGAAGATACACAGGCAGTCCCTTCCTGTGTCTGTAAGTAGAATTTTAGGCAGGTCAGGAAAGGTGCATACGGTTCTTCCTTCGCTTTACTTTAGTTCAAGGGAACCAACCCTGGCAGCATACTGAATTATGTGTTGTGCTGTTGATCCAGAGGTTAGTGGCTTGAATCCACCAGACACCTTGTGGGTAGGGTGGTCTGATCCTGTTAAGATTTACAAACTTGTAAACCTGATGGTGGAGTCACCAGGAGTTGGAATCAACTCCACAGCGTGGGGTTTGAAAAACTGTAAAGCTGGTTCGGTGACATTGAAGCTGGATGTGCTGTAAGCAAAGGTGATTGTGATGAAGAATTTGTTCATGATAATAGGTTGATTCCGTCATTTGAAAATGAGGACAAACGTGCGTAACATTGAAGAGCAGTGCAAATCGTATATAAGATGGATGTTGTAATGTAGGGACTGTCTGTAATGCTTATATACAAGCAGTGTCAAGAACTGTTTAAGAAAATGCTTGCTGAAATACGTCGTCTGACTGGTATTGAAATCTGGTGTTTCTTTCCCCCAGGAGAAACCTCAATTATTTTTCCAATGCCTATGCAGCTGCAGTGAGTGCTGTGGACCCGGACGCCGGAAATGGAGAGCTTTGCATTAAGGTTCCCTCAGAGCTCTGGAAACACGTTGACGGTAAACTGTCAAGACTGTGTGATTTTACGGTAAAATCATGTTCGAGTCAACGACTAGAAAATTTTCCATGAACATGAATGATCATGGAATTGTACATTAATTAATTGAAATGTACCACATGAAAAAGTGGAAAAGTCTTTTTGACCCCTACTTTTCAATATTTCACTGTGTTTTGGGTGAAAGTTTAAACAATCAGTTAAACTTTCATTTAACTTTCGTATAAATTGCTGAGTGATGTGAGTGACATTTTTTCCAGATCTTTTTCAGGATCAGTGCTTATCAGAGAAATCCTCTATCAAAACCTGTAACAAAAAGCGTTCCATCTCACTATTATGTCTTAAGTGTGGAAAGTATTTTTTAAAAAGGAGAGATGGAACAGTTTCTAAGATTGGAAATCCATAGAATATCAACTCTATTTAGAATTTTAGTGCTTAGATCTTAAAAACTTACTGGTTCAGTTTTTCCCTTTCAAAGAAAAGTCCAAAGACTGAGTAATCTGTGTAAGTTGTTTTAGCTGGTAGACTCAAGTTTCTGATAACCATTCTACGTATTTTTGTGAATACATCTGTTCTTCTTACTAAATGATTATACATTACCTTCTGCCTGTATGGATTATTTAACCTTATCAGAATTAACCAAGATGACAAGTAAAAGATGTTTTGTTTTGTCTTTGGTTCTTGTGTTTGTGTGTTTGGGGAGGAAGGCACACACTTTAAAGGAAGGTTGTTACTGCCTGAGATTGAAGGTAGTTTACGTTTCTGTAATATTTTGAAGTATATTTTATTATTTTAAAAGCAATATGAGTGTTCCATGCAGAAGGCTAGTTGTTGTTTTTGTTGAATTGAAGGTCAACAGAACAACAACAAAAAAGTAATAATAAATACTTAATATAAATTCTTGGGTAGTCCTTCTTACCACTCATTCCTTACTTTCAAAAAGCCAACCAGAGTTAATCTGGCGAGGAATATAGTGGGAGAACAAACTTGAAAGTAAGTCTGAGGTTGGATTTGGAAGACTGTAAGTCTCTCACGTGGAAGCTTAAATTTTGTTGTTTGTTGTTACATATTGTCGAGTCAGAACCGACTCCTAGCTGACCCTGCAGTGGATTTTCAGGGCAGTAAATTGCATGGAAGAAGATTTCCCATCTTTCTCCTGCGGAGCAGCTGGTAGATTCAGATTGTTGACAGTGCAACTCCTTAACCACTAAGCCGTTTTGAATTCTGGCTATAGGATGGCAGTTCAAAGCTCTGTCTTGGAAAAACACAGTCATCAGTGACTAGTATTAATTGGAGGTAGGACCATAAATGGGGAGGGTGGTGGAAGCCAGAATTAGGCTCATAGAGTATAGTTTGTTCTTTGGGGTGTATGTGTAAAGCTGAGCTTTTTTTGATTCCCATTGTGTGTTCAAGCCAAGCAGTTGCTCTTAAGTATTTAGAGAGCACTGTTATTTACGTATGTATTTATGTCACAGTGTATTTGTTGTGTGTTTGCTACAGAGTTAAAGGTCCTGAAGATACACATCAATTTCTCTTTGGATCAGCCCAAGGGAGGTCTTCACTTTGTGGTGCCCAGTGTCGAGGGAAGCCTGGCTGAGAGGGGTGCCCATGTTTTCTCTTGTGGGTATCAGAATTCCACAAGGTAGGTTTACTCCTTCTTACAGATTTCTGTTAAGTTGGTGTTTCCGTTGCCTTTGTCTAGGTTGGTGCCCATCTATTTCGTGTAAGATGGGAAGTCTGTGTTTACTTACTTGCGATCTTTACCCGTGTTCAATTGTTCTTCCTCTCTCCTCATTCTTTCCTCATAACCTCATAATGTTTAAATCTATGATTTGAAAAAAAAAATCATTATTTTTTTCTTTTAAAATTTCATATCAAAGGAAAACATGCAAAAAATTGCACCTAGTTCTTTTGAGAGTCTGTTCAGACTCACAGCAGCCCCCCACCCCCACCCCCAGGGGTGCTAATACTGTTATTCTGAAACAGGAGCACAGGGTTTTATCTTTCTCTCATGGGGAGACTGTTGGATTCAAACCAGCCACCTTTTGGTAGCAGGCTCGCAGGCAACACAATACTAGGGTTCCTTATGTAGTTCATTAATTCCCTCCCCCCCTTTAAATGATATTTACTTGTTTGTTCAGAATGTGTACCGTAAAATATATACTCCAGCTTCTTCTGAGTGTACAGGCTCCTGATGCTGTACTTGATTCTTCAAGTTACGCAGCCGGCCTCACCGTCCTTTTTTGAGTTGTTTCCCATTGATATAAAGTCACTGCTTAGGCTCCTGTCTAATCTTTGGAGTTGTTGTTGTCATTTGATCTTCTCTGTGTACTTCTTAAAAGAACGGAATGCTCAAAGGAAACCTTTATTCCTAGTTAAGCTAAAATACTCAGCTATAAGAAACCTCATAGGATATTTTTCATTTGGGTTTAAAGGACAATACTTTCTGAGATTGATTCAGTACTCTGTAGTTCCCAGAAGTCTAGATTATATGAAAATTTGAAACTTAAAGTTTGCATTTTCCCCCTTTTATTTATTTATTAATTAATTTTTTCCATTTCTCCCCTTTTAATCAAATTCTCTTATGGGATCTTTGATCAAAATGTTCAGTGACGGTAGGCAGGCACTGTCCAGCGCTTCTGACCTCACGGCAAAAGAGGCCCCTCCCATGAAGCAGTTAGTTACACACTTCCTCTCCTTCTCATTGATCTTTGATCTTCTTTATTCACCTAGGCCGGAGGAGTTAACACCCCCCCCCTTTTTTTTCTTTTTAACTACTCTGAATTATTCATTTTCTTCATGGTCAGCACATACTATTGAAATATTTTATAATCTCTGTGCTTTCTTAGGACTCTTATCACCCCCTCAGTCAGCGATGAAGTCTTATACTTTGGCACATAACAGCAGTAACACGCTATGACAGGTTTGGAAGCAGGAGTGGTAGCCACTTCCTAAATATCATGCCTCTGGAAACTCTATGAACTTTGATAAATCTCAGTGGTTGTAGAGGGGCTTCCGGCCTTTTGTTCATGGGGTCACTGAGTCGTGCTCGACTTGGCGGCCCTCGACAGCTACTGGGTATGAACCGTGGTGCATGATAAAATCTAACCCAAGCTGGACGAGCCTGAATATAAACTACACACCAGGCTTTACTAGCACTCAAGTTGAATTTATATAAATATACTAAATTTCAGAGAAGTACTTTCCTAACTTACCGCGTAGAGTTCACATATTAGTTGTATTGTGTAAAGTTTGAGTATAATTTGGTTTTAGCTTCTAGAAATGAATGCTTTGTATAAATTAATGTACACTACAAGTTAAAATTATTTTTAAATTAACAAGTAGGACTAAGAATTATTAACATTTTTTTACAGTTTGAGTTAGATGTATCACATGATATATTCTTTAATATTGTCGTTCTTGTTGTGTACCATTGAATTGAAACCGACCCACAGCTGACCCTTCAGTGGGTTTTTAGAAGCAATAAATCATATGGGAGGAGATTGACCATCTTTCTCTCAAGAAACAGCTGGTGGATTTGAACCACTTACCTTTGAGTTGGCAGTTCAGTTCCTCACTCCTAAGTCACCAGAGCCCTCTTCGATAGTGCTGGTAACATTTGGAAACAGAATTTTTAAATTGAACATTTTTCAGATTCCACAGTGAAAAGCTTCAGAAGTGAAAATAGCAAATTGTCTTTTTGTCCGATTTCTAGAAATGGTACAATAGGTAGATGAAACAATCCAAGCTCTTCTTTCAGTGTCTTTGCAGTAATACCAGTCTCTTTTCTAGGTTTTGGTTTCCATGTGTTGATTCGTACTCTGAATTATGCACATGGAAATTAGAATTTACAGTCGATGCTGCAATGGTGGCTGTGTCCAATGGAGACTTGGTAGAGACGGTGTACACCCACGACATGAGGAAGAAGACCTTCCACTACATGCTCACCATTCCAACGGCGGCCTCTAACATCTCCTTGGCCATTGGACCTTTCGAAATACTTGTAGATCCCTATATGCACGAGGTAAGTCATTTCTCCTTTCCTCTTCTCTCCTCTCAGCCTTCTGTTCTCAAGAAAATGCAGTCACATTCACTACTGTTAATTTGATTCTGACGTCTCGTGGCCCTTCAGGACAGAAGACCACTGCCATTGGGTTTCCAAGGCTGTAGTCTTCATGGAAGCAGAACGCTTCCCTTTCTCTCGTGTTGTGGCTGGTGCGTTCAAATCGTCAGCCTTTGGTTAGCAGCTGATGCTTTCGTTTTTCCTGCATTTAATTTAGGTGTCCTCTTTTCCTGATTAACCTAACATGTTCATTTCAAAGGGATTAGCTCGGATTCAGTCTTCATGAATGAAACCTTACGGGTCATTCTAATCAAGGGGATTAGTTGTCATTGTGAGTGTCGTTCATTTGGTTCAGAACATGAGATGAGACAGCCTGTGATACTTGGGTGTCTGTCCAAGTGAAATGTAACCTGGTAGGAGAATTAGAATGACTGTTTATGATGTAGACATTTTTCAGTTGATCAGCTTCCAGTCTCTGGACTTGGGATAGAACTGTAGATAATTAGTGAAAATACTCTAACATTGTAATTATTAAGATAGCTTTAGAAAGTACAGTATTCACTAGGCTAGGTGTTTATTGATAAAAGCTGTATTAAATGTTTTTCATATATATACATATGTATGTATATATATGTATTTGCCAGGAAAAAAGTTTTACCACAAAGCAGTACTCTCAGTGGCTCTAAGTATTTTATAGGTGTATAATCTATCATGATTTTTCTAAAGTACAGTGAGTATTTTATTTACATATATAATAAAAGTAATTAATTTCACAACAGCATTTTTTAGTATAATGAACTTTGTAAAAAGTAAAAAAGATTTTTATGATTAAAAATTCATTTCTAATTGAGACATTAAGGCATTTTTTAATTAACAAAGCCAACTCTTTGACTTAATCTTTTTCCTTGCTTTTTTATGTTCAGGTTACTCATTTTTGTTTACCTCAACTTCTTCCTTTGCTTAAACATACCACGTCGTATCTTCACGAAGTCTTTGAATTTTATGAGGAAATTCTCACATGTCGATATCCGTACTCCTGTTTCAAGACTGTCTTCGTAGATGAGGCCTATGTGGAAGTGGCGGCCTACGCTTCCATGAGCATTTTTAGGTTGGTTGGTCTTTAAATTTGAAATGCTGATGTCAGAGGGATAGACTTACTTATTTTGTGACTAATTCTAAGGTATGTTTTGAATGTCGTAAATTTATTCATAAATCTTTGTAGCACTTTCTTAAAATTTTTTAAATGTATGAAAACATTTAGAATTAACTCAAAAAACTTACATCATGTTAATCGAGGATTAACTAATATTTTATATATTTCCCTTTTTTTGAAAAAATTTAAAGTTACTGCATGGGAAAGCTGTGGACGGGGGGTGGGGTGGGAGGCGTCTCTCCTCCTCAAACTAAAGAATGCTCATTACTGTAAAGTCGAAACTGACAAACTGACTTGTAGCTGGCTCTCCAGAGGGTTTTTTGTTGTTGTTGTTTTGTTTTTTTAAAAATTTTTTTTTTAATTTTATTTTACTTTTTATTATTTGTGTGTGTGAGTACCGTCAAATCAGATCTGACTGGGACAGGAGGAAATTGTCCTTCCTTCCCCAGCAGAGCATCTGGTGGATTCGAACCATGCGCCTCTGGGATTGCAGTGCAGCTTCTTGCCACTAGGCCACCAGAGCTCCCCTCCAGAGGGTTTTTGAGGCTGGTTATCTCCTGAGAAGAGATTTCTTATCTTTTTCCTGGGGAGCTGCTGGTGGGTACACACTGCCAGAGAAGTGTGCCCTGTGGGCTGACAGCACAACTCCTCCTGTCCAATGCCATCAAATCTCTGCCTTCTTCGTTGTTGTTTTTTTTAAAAAAGACATCTTAGAGGTGTTCTTCTGTGAGTTGTGGGGGGGGGTACCCCCTTCTTCTGTCCTTTTGCTCATTCTTCCCTCGCTCTTCCTCTCTGTCGTCCTGTGGACAGTCCAGATTTCAAAGCCTTCTGTCTCAAGCTCAGTCATTTCAGCTGTGCCAAGCCTTCATTTTCATTTCTGTAAAATGGGTTTAATAATTCTGTGCCTCTGTTTTCTAGCATGTTGTTAGAAAGATGTAATGGGATAATATATTTGAAAGTAAATAATAGGAAAACTCAAGTTAACAGTTACAATCAGAGAAGGAGTGGAAATGGAAAAGCCTGTGTTTTAGGATCAGTTTCTGATTATTGATACTCTCCTATGCCCCCCCCCCAACCCCTGACCAAGATATTTCTATTCCTGACTTCAAGCAAAATTTACAAAGATACAGCCTTTTTGTTCCCTTTTAAAGTTGCTCCAGTACTGTAAGAGGCTAAAGCAAGTCTCCATAAAACCCAGAAAAGAGATCCAAGGGCCAGAGGGGAAAAGTTATTATGATGATAGATTTCACCTTAATTTTAATAAAGAGCTCTTTGAGGGGAATATTCTGAATTTTTAAGAAATTTATGTCTCCTTTAAATTCTATTATTTTAATAGTGTCTTTTTTAAAAATCATTATTAAATTTTATTTGTTTTAGTGAACATTTACAGAGATTTGGGGTTTTCATTCATTGTTGCATATTTTAATTGTTTCAATGCTCCTTTCACTAAATAATTGTTTGTTTCTTGGTTATATAGTCTTAACTTTCCCATCTTTTACATTCCAGCACAAATCTTTTGCACAGTGCCATGATTATAGACGAGACACCTTTGACAAGAAGGTGTTTAGCACAGTCATTGGCCCAGCAGTTTTTTGGATG